CCTAAATGATTCTATGATTCTAGGATTAGACCGAATGCCTTAATTGCGACTCTGCATTTTTGAGATTTCAAAGACAAATTCAGCTCACATATAAAGGAATTTTTCTTCTAATTCTAGTTATAGATGGTCTTTACAATGGTGTGAGTGTGCAAACAAGTTTCTTCAGGGAAAGAAAGGATAAATTTAGAGCACTTCAGCCAGTTGGCTAATTGCCTGTGAGCACGCCTCTTCCCAAGAACTTTTTGCAGAAAATTAATGTGTATGCAGTTAATGCCCGTGGAGTAGCCAACATGTTCTGCTTTCCTTTGTTATAGCAGTGGAGTCACAGTGCTGAGGCTGAGGAAGCTTTGACTGTGTCATAGGTTATATGAGGAGCATGCTGGGTGATCTTTGGTAAATGATTTCACCATGATGTGCCTCAGTTTCCCTTTAATTTGCAGGATGTTGATATCACTTTCTTAGGTAGCACTTAGAAGATCAGCTAATGAACAGTGCTTCACCAGAGCAAATTAGTGACATTAGTCTTTGACTGAATATCTAGTGTATTTCTTTGAGTAGACTTGGTAGATGGGGTTAAATGGCTTAAGGTGAGTCAGATTTTACACTTTCAGGAACATAGGTAAGTTTTTTTGATAGGAAAGACTTGCTTTCCACTAGACCTGTTAAACCAATGTATTTTACCACTTGACAAGGTACTGAGTCATCTGGTGCCCAGAGGAAAGCACTTAAACCATCAATAAATAGCCGTTCTGCCCTGTAGGAGAGCCAGATTCACTTCTCAAGACTCCATATGTCATTCCTCGGTTGGACAGATGTTGGCAGAGCAGAAGTGGCCCTGAGAGTGAACTGGGGAGCAGATTGGTTACATGTCAGGGCATGCAGGAATGATGCTGACAAATTCCAAAGGGCGTTCTCTTCAGCAGGCCACGTTTGGGGTGATTTAGGGTTTTTCTGTAGGTTTAAAAGCTTTCAGAGAAGCTTTCAGAAGGTATGGAAGTGCATATCCTCTGGACTCCATCTAGCTCATTGCTTGCTAGGCCAATGAGCAGTGAAAATGCTAGCACATTGGGCCATTCAGATGACCCCAAGGCTGTGTATTCTATTATTCCTATAACTGAACTTGCTGCACGTACCTTCTTTGCCTCTCAGGACCCTCTGGTTATGGTTGTCTTCCAAGCTTCTCTTTTTAGTAAGCCCTCCTTCCTTATACCAGTCACTCTGCACACATTTGCCCCTGTTTCTCCTTCCTTCTCCCCAAGACAGGGTTTTTTTTTTTCTCTTGAGGTTCTCTGTTTTTCTGTTTTCCCCTTTTTCTTTAGAATACTTTCCTTTCCCTTCCTCATATAAGTCAAGAGTAAGTAATTTGCTTTCTTTGTGTGGGGGTGATGGCAGAACTGGGAAAAGCATGTTGTTCTGGAAGCTGCAAGTAGGACTTTTGGGTTTCCGGAAGGTGAGTAATTGATAGAAAGTACTTCCAAAGTAGCTATGAAAGAGATGGGTCCTGACAGACTGGTCCTGCCTTTGTGCCTTGGATCTCCTATTTAGTCTTTGCTTGCTTTTGAATTGTGTTTGTTGTGTAAAGGCCAGCCATAGTTCCATCCAACATGTGACTAAATGTTACCTGTGAGAGAAACTGTATAATTTTTGTATGTGTATCTGACAGTTCTTGGTCTCTGGATAGAGAAAGACTCTATGGACAATATCATATGAAGGTATAAGCTTGCTTACTTCTGACAGAAATTGATAGAGTGAGTGTGCCTATATACATATATGTCCGTTGCTGCTATGTGGAATTTAAACTGTGAGAAAGAAACAAGGGGACCTTGGGATACTAACAAGTGAGTAGGAGACGGGATGCGTGATGAACGGAAAAAGTCTTTGTTGTTAAGTATTTAGTTTGACCTCTTGCATATTTTTGGTTCAGCTGAAGATGCTTTGGGTTGCCCTGCCCAAGTTTCTTACAGGATAAATAGCATTTAAGTATGTATTAGATTTTTAAATCATCTGTTTATCTGCTTAGACAGATTTATCTGCTGATAATGTGCTTAAACATCTCTGAGAACTTTAGTTGTTTGTCTAATAAAATAAGAATAATAATGCTTCCTGACCTATGGTCTTGTCTGTTCAGGTAATAATCTGTTTTGATAAGGATTATTTTCTGTGCTGCTGTGTGTTCTAGACATGATTGGTAGATCATGTACCACCATAAAAACATAGCACAGTGTTATAATAATGCAAATACCGTCTTTTGGTTTATCCATCACTCAGTTCTTATAATCAACTACAAACATCTCTTCAATTAATAATTTTTTTCTTTTTTTTCCCTTCAGTTACTTTTTTATTTATCATTTTTTGTTGCTGCCTATGTGATGAACCTGTGGTGTTTTCTTACAAGTTACTAATAATTGATGAATCTTTTCGATTTATGTCATTGTTTCAAATGTTGGTTGTTATAGGTAATCCCTTCAGAACTTGAAAAATAGTCATTTTATAAAAAGTCAGTGGAATGTGTTGGATCATCTAAAAAATGAACAACGGTTAAATTCCAAAACTATTCTGAATATTAATCTAACAGGAAAAGATACAAAGTCTTGTTTTGAAAGTTGAAGCTAGAGAAATTAAAATCAGTTAAAAGGTGCACATTTTCACCATGAAAATAAATATGGGTTACAACAAGTTACCTAGTACTGCGAAGCATTTTCATAAAATAGATGCTATTGTGTAAAGAAAAGCAATAGGATTTTTGCCTGAATTAGTTTGTCCTCTGTTAATGCAGAAAGTCAGATTACATAATTGTAGTAGTCCCTCTGACTTAAGAACCTATGAATTTCTGAATCTGTGAAAAGTTTCCTTTTTAAAAAAAATTATTTATTTTTATTTTCTAATTGAGCATTAGCCTAATCCCTGAACTTATATCTGTAGCTGAGGTTGCTGAGTTCTAGCATCATGTTTTCTTACAGCCTTTGATTCACTATCTCTAAATCAAAAGTGTCCTCCCTCTCTTGTAGTGATCAGTACTAAATAGAAAGTTTGATTAATGGGGTTGGAAAGCTGGTTGTCTTGTATTTGGATTGCAAAGTGGGATATTATATCTCAATCATTAAATCAGATCTGCAAAGCTATTTCTGCTTGAAATAGAGCGCTTGTGCCAGGGGAAAATACACAGCAATTGTGATTCTGAGAGGGAGTGAGAAAACACAAAAGGGATGCCTTAAAGAGAGCTACTCTGGCAGATTATATATCTGTTTTTTAGTATAGGTACTGACAGGTAGAATCACCTATGAAACAAAAGAGGTTTTTTAGATCTCTCTGCTCTGCCTGAAGGGGCAAAGGGATAAGAAAGGGTATAAGTAGAGAGAGTTTTATACAAGTACTTACCTCTTTGCTTGACAGTCTGAGAAATAAGCTGACTATTAGTAAGTCAAATATGTGCATCTACATCTTACAAAATGCTTATGAAAATATGCCACTTCCAGATCATCAGATCTTGAAGCCTTGTACAAAAGAAAGTAATATTGCTAAATCCTGATTTACAATAGTGTAATGGAGTAAAAATATTATGAATAATCACTGTGGTAGAATTTAGCATGAACATTATTTTTTGCCCTCATTTAAAACAACTGCAGTACTGCTGAGTGCACAAAAAGGCTGGGGGCAACCAGCTGTGGAGCTGACACATCCGTGCTCCAGCAGTGGAGTGGATTGTGCTTTATGACCTGCACCATCTTCACTATGAGGGGCAGGACATTAACAGCATCAGTCTACTTCCTCACCTCTCCTTGTAAGCATTTGCATTAATTCCTCTCTTTTTTGTTCCAGCACAAATAAAGATTATATTAATTGCAAGTTTTCAAGATGATAGTGTGGGATGGCAAAGCCTGCTTCAGATTGTTATTATTGTGTAATACTGACAGGCAAAACCAGTAACTTCTTTTTTGCTCTATTATTTCCACAGGGTGCAGCTCTAATTCGAATGTTGGCTAACTTTATGGGTCACTCTGTGTTTCAAATGGGCTTACAAGTAAGTGGAAGCATTTCTGTCTTTGTGTAGTTGTACATTTCTAGCAGTTTATCTTGCTTGCTCTTTTTTATTTCTAAACTATATTTGAATCTATTTGTGGAAATGTTTCTTTACTTCAGGAGCATCCCAGGCACCAACATGTCCCAGAAGCTGAATTTAATGCAAGATGCTGAGTAGTGTAACACACATTGTGGTGCCTCCAGTTTCACCTGTATTTCTTGGTATAGCAAGTTATTGCACTTGAACTGGCACACAATTTTTTGTCCATTTTGGTTGCCATGTAAAAGCCATTTGGTCCATGTCACAACTGTGTGAAGGGCTATCTGAGGAAGGAGCTACTTCTTTAATTACATTTACGTACTGGTATAACAATTGATAACAAATGATGTCAAACTGGCTAGGAAATAGCCCTAAAACTGGCAATGCTTTTCACATAAATATTTTTGCCTTCCTTCCCCCCATATCAAAATGTTTGTGCTTTACTTTTAGCTGTGATAAATGTGGAATACTATATGCCTTAACAATGATTTGAAGACTTACCTTGCCTTTTAGAAAAAATTTAAAGAGGTAACATTTCTGTATGAAGAAAAAGAAATTCAACATGCTGATTACCAAGGATGAACTCTTTTCAGCAATAAATCAGCACAAATGAGTGTTTCGTAAACTATTTAAAAACAAACAAGCCAAAGGATAAAAAACAATGTGACTCCCCCTATTCCATTGAAATCTGCTTGAGTAAATCATGTTTCAGGCAGCTGTGATTGATGAATTATGTATGATGCAGCCTGCTACTTAGAAGTGTCCTTTAAAGTAAATTGATGTTCACCTGAAATACAATTATGCTAAGATGGAAAGAGCAATCAATCTTATCTGTTCTTAGTAAGCTTTTCATTTTGGAATTTAAATAAACTTCATCTAAGATCAGGTCATTTTTTAACAGAATAAATTGGAAGATAAAATATAAAACAAAAGTTAAGTAAATGCATTGGTTATGTCAGAGAGGTGTGTTCTATACAATAGGCAATGAAAGGAAACCTGCTGGGGAAATACATCTTTTTGGAGAGTTTACAGGACACTCAGGGTTTGCAGCAGAACTTATTTGCAGGACCCAGCTGCACAATTTTCTTAGTTGTAAGACCAGGTCAGATCAGTTTGATAATCTTATCCAGGTAAGAAATCGTGAAATCAGAATTTTCCTTCATAAAATTTTGTAGATTGTAAGGGTAAAGCCCTCATCTCACTGAAGCCATTAAGGCTTCTGTCCTTAGTCCAGCAAGCTCCATATTCCAGCCAGAAACTTCCCTGCACAGATCCAGTCATATGGAAATTCATAAGCATTTCACCCCAAAAAAGCAGTTCACTCAGTTTGAGAAAGGGAATCTTTTAATATGTACATCTCAAACCCCATTTTTCTATTTTCTTCAGTGTTTGCCTGGGAAATAATAATATGCAAGTTGCCATGAAAGAAATTTTGAAAAAAGTTAGATCAAAGAACAGGGCTATGCAGGGATTAAATAATCATGATTGCCATAAAGTTGTAATGAAGTTTCGTTTTTCAATTTGAGTAGTTTCCTATTATTTCTGCTTTTCACCAGTTCTGCTCTATAATAGAAACTCTTCTGTTTGCTAATGAAAGTCTATCAAAAACCTAACTGAAAATCTGACTAGTGGAGGTCATGGCATCAGTTCAGCAG